CACAGGACGTGTCGTTTGCCGGGCAGTCCAGATGTTTGTGGAATGCACTTGGCTGCTGCGTCAGTAAGAAAGGCCGTGAAGTACTGCACAGCTTCATCTATGCCTAATCCGCATATGTCAGTCCAATTTAAGTGAGTAAGCTTTTGAAATTGTTCCCAGTCGGCTTTGTTTACCAGCCATTTGGGAACATGTGGAGGACATTCATATATTATTGGTGTACTCAAAACTAAATGAAAATAGTCACTTCCGTATGGATTATTTATGACTTTCCACTGAAGTAATGGTACAAGTGAAGGAGATGCGATACTGAGGTCTATGGAAGAGTAAGTTTTGTTGGCAAGGCTATAGTATGTTGCCTCTTTCCTATTCAGCAGACAAGCACCTGATGAAATGAGGAATCGTTCAATGAGACGACCTCGTGCATTACAGCGAGTCACCCCACAGGCCATTATGTGCGTTCAGGTCCCCAAGGACCAGATAAGGTTCAGGTAGTTCGTCTATTAAAGACTGGAATTGAAGTTTTTCAAGACGGTGGTGCGGAGGTATGTACAAAGAGCAGACAGTGACAAGTTTGTTTAGAATAACTGCTCGGATAGCCACCGCCTCGAGGGAAGTTTTAAGGGGTAATTGGGTGCATGCTATACCTTGACTAACTATAACCGCTACACCACCGGATGGTGGCATGGCATCATCTCTATCCTTTCGGAAGATTACATAGTTACGTAAAAAGTTTGTGTTTGTTCGTTTTAGGTGTGTCTCTTGTACACACAGCACTCTTGGATTGTGTTAATGGAGGAGTTCTTGTAAGTCATCGAGGTTTCGAAGAAGGCCTCGGACGTTCCACTGTAATATTTCTGTCTGCATATTTAAACAAGAGGGATGCTGCTGTGTGTACAAAGAGTATCCTGTGTTGGAGTGAGCTCGTTAATTCAGGTGGCAGGACGGTCGTCCGGCCCCGTTATTGGTTTTTTGTTTTTCTTGGCGCGCTCCAAAGAGGCGCGCCGCTCTTTCGGTACCAAGGGTACCGTTGTATCCATTGCCTCCTCAGAGGCACTGGATGCCCGCACATGCGAGCTGGTGGTTTGGATTTTAGGCTTCGCCTGGTGAGGTGAGGCCTTGAGACCAGAGGACCCTGGAGTCTCCGGCCTCAATTCGCTTGGAGGCGGAGTAGACTGAACTACTGCCGCCTTGGGGGCAGGCGCCACAGCCGACGGCTCGCTCTGCGCTGGCCGAAGGGGTGGCGAGGGCTGGTGCGGCGTTGCCCCCTGACGCGCCGCATCAGCATATGTTGTGCCGTAAAATGGCGACACTCTTTCGTCTTGCGTCTTTGAATGTGATATATTCTTTGACTTTAAGAGTGATTATTTCTTTTTCTTTTTTCCAAAATGAGCAAGACCGTGAGTATGCGGCATGATTTCCGCCACAGTTCACACAGTGTGATGGTTCTTCGCAATTGTCAGAATTGTGGCCTGACACTACACATTGTGCACAAGTTTGGTGACCACGACAGCTTTGTGAGCCGTGTCCATACTTCTGGCATTTAAAACAACGACGTGGATTAGGTATGTATGGTCTGATCGACGTCTTCGTGTACCCTGTTTGAATACTTTCTGGCAGATTACTGGAAGCGAATGTGAGTATTAGGTGTTTCGTCGGTGTTACCTTGTTGTCTCTTCTAATGATGATCCTTTGTACATTGGTCACATTCTGACTCTTCCACCCCTCCAGAAGTTCCTCTTCAGTCAAGCCGAGCAAATCAGCATCAGATACTACTCCACGGGTTGTGTTCATAGATCTGTGTGGCGTTACAGTGATGGGAGTGTCACCAAAAGTTGAAAGGTTCTGTAGCTTTTCAAACTGTTCTTTTTCTCGAACTTCAAGGAGGAGGTGTCCGCTGGCCATTTTGGTAACTTTGTACCCGGCTCCAAGAGTTTCTGTGAGACATCTGGCTACTACAAAGGGGGATACAGTTCTGGCTTCCTTGCTGCTTATCTCACTATGTATAACATGAAAAAGGGGGAAGTTTTCACTTGATCGGTTGAAAAAGCCTAAGTCTTCAGTGCGTACGCGTTTTAAGGCGGTACGATCACTTAATAAGGGAAATGCTCTATGCATGCCAGTTTAATTTTCTTCAGAAGCATTGGCGGCCACCCACCACGGAGCCCAACGAGGGGACGCTACAAGTTTGCGGATGCTAAAACCTGCAGACGCCAGCCGTACAACGCTACTATAACCCAATGCGCCTACACCAAGGTAGGCTATTTGCACAGGGTTAACCCTAGCCGCCAGGAAGTTTGGAAGTAAACCGAAGAGAGTAGAAGACAGGACAGATAAATAGTAAGAGATAAAGACGAAGATGTAGGGAGAGAGATAGGAAAAGGCGACTGCCGATTTCCCCTGGGTGGGTCAGCCCAGGGGTGCCGTCTACGTGAAGCCGGGGCCAAAGGGGTGTGTTGCCTGTGCCGGGGGGCCTTAACGGTCCAATCACCCAGCGTCGGCTCAACCCCCAGGATCCCCTTTTCCCCGGACACGGCAAAGCCACGCACGGCTAGGCGTGGGAGGGAGTAGAAACTCCCCCGTTAGCTCAGGTCCGTGGTGTCGCTACACACCAAACGCCTACTTGCGCAGGCGCCCCCGCAGGGCAAAAACCTGCATAACATTCTGCATTTTGGCGCAATTTCAGCAAATTTCATGGTTTTGGCGCAGCCCAGAGCACAAACAGGGAATTGTATCAAATTGGCGCAATTGGCACAGCTGTTTCACCCCTGCCTTACAACATAGAAGCTGAAAGCAGAAAAAATCAACGAAAAAACATAAGCAGCCCTCTGGACAGATACTAGACCTCGGAAGAATGAAAAAATTTAATGTTAAGAACTTGCAATTGTTAAAATGTGATTAAGATACCGCATCCAACTAGACAGCAACTCAAGACTAGAAATGAGCTAATAAAAATAAATGTAGACAACTAATGTTCCAGTCATTAAAATGCCACAGCTGACATGAAAACTGCGGGAAAATTTAGATACAGTCGCCCCGCCATTACTAGGCAATTACGGTATTTACTCGCTTAATGAACCCACCTTTTTTTCAGAAAATTTGACGCCAATTTGGGAGAGGGACCATAACGTGGGGAAAAAAAGTCACGGGAGTTATATCAGCAAAAATTTCACGTGACGGCTTTGCTCGTTTTGGCCTGTGAAATGTGCGACACATCTTTTTTGTAGCCCGAAGTTCTTTCTGCTTCCTCCCGTAATAGAAGCGCAAGTATCGACGCCGAAGTGTCATCCAACTGCTCAGTTACCATGCTCCAGCACATGCTGTTTATAACCTGTTATGTAGCTAGGTTTTCCAATTAAGTTCACAACGACAATTTGACAACAAGAACGCAGTGTCGAATGGGGGAGCACTAACAGTGTGGTAGACGTTATAGACGCATGACACGTCGACAGTGCAGTGGGTGCGGTTGTGCTTCGCATGGTTTCCGAGATGGTGGGCTGCGCGGCACCTGCCGTTTCGGAGGCCAAACGATTTGTTTTTTGCTTTGTTTTTGTGCCACTGTGCTTGCGTGGAGCTGTCAGCAAAGGGGTTTCTCCTGCATTCGACAGCTGGTGCTTAGCTGCATAAGATGTGACATTGTCCGCACTCGCGCTGCTCGCAACTGTTTATGATGATTACGAAACTATGTTTTGACTTTTATTGCCTTGTTTCGATTGTCAACGGCACTGGCTATCATACCGAAATAAAATGAACAGATACATTTAAAAAAGTTTTTTTTTAACTTTTTTCAAGGACCAAGGTGGGTTACAGAAAAGCTGCAAGCAAACAGTAGAGTTTAGAAATACCGTATGCAAAACTTGCGAGCATAGCATTAGCGTTAGTCACGGGAGCTCGCAAGGTTAACGTACAACATCAACCTTGGGCTGATGGCCATCTAATATGGAATTGTCCGCAGTTATCTTCTGAAGAAACTAAGTTTTACCATCCATCCCAGTCCTAGGTGCACGAAATGCTTAGTGTGCTTTGGTGGCCTTCGGCTGCCCACGCTGCCATCGCCAGTAGCAACACATAACTCGTAGCCTCTAAAATGCCTACCAGTGGCCCTGTTGCGGTTGTTTAGTGCATGATCAATCCCTTTTAACTTGAAAGCAGCCGTGTAGCTTCCGTATCGCCCCATGACGTATTTCGTATCGCCCCATAACATAACCACAGAACGGACACAACTTACACTAGCACGCCACAACCCACACTTGCCACTTTGGCTTGGCTTGAATTGGGGCTCTGGACATTGATAGTGCGCATAATGCTTAAGAGATGGTGCCGGGCTTTTGTGTGCTATCATCATCAGTGGTTGGAAGGAGCAGACGACATTCCAACTGAAACTTTTGGGGGCGGAAACCCGCGGAAAAAATAAAATCGCACTTTTGTTTGGCAATGTGAGGGAGGGTGAGAGAATCATGCGAGTGTGAGGATTATGCGAGTAAATAGGGTAGAACATAGCCCCAGCAATAAATTGAACGAAGCGCCAGCCGAGCTGAAGTCAACTGCAAAGATAGCATTGCAGCTTCAGCAGAAGAAAAGTGCACCGGTTACCAACCTGCCTGTCCATTAAAGCTGCAGCACTCTGCCGCCAGTATCCCAATGTGGAATACAGGTTGGGCTCATCCACCCGTGAGCCATGCGGAGGGGGCGTGGATGTAGAGCGTTGCTGATATGAAATCACATGAGGCGCTGTCTGCCTCATCACATGCGGATTCGATCTGTCGTCTGAATGCACCATAACTGAACCAGTACTGAGCACAGAAATTGAATAACATTAAGATGCCAACTTTTTAAGGTATTTTACTGGTACTAGCCAGTACTGAGCACCGGAATTATACAAAATTAAGATGCCAACTTTTTAAGGTATTTTACTGGTACTCCAGCTCCTAAGAGGTATCTGTCTAGAGGAGGATGTGTCAAGCAAAATATGAAAAAGGGAGCAGAAACAAGAGAGCCTTTACCTTTCATAAGTGTCTCCTCTAAGTCATCAGCTTGAGAAACAACAGCTTGTTGGCTGGTGGGCAGTGGCTCCGCTTTTTGTGGCTCCAGGCAAGCTTTCATCTTCTTCTCCTGGTTGCTCAGCAGCTCATCGGCTTGCTCCTCAGACTGGAGAGCCGCCTGAGATTTGCCTATGAACAGCTGTGCAACCAAAAAGACATGCTCACGCTTAAGCCAAATGTAATGAAAAACAAAACAAAAAAACACCGCTCAAACCTTCGCATGTCCTCATGAAGAAATGCAGAAAAAGTTAAATTTAATAACTGACCACTTCAGTACAGCAATATTACATGTTTCCATGTAATTGATTGATATGTGGGGTTTAACGTCCCAAAACCACCATATGATTATGAGAGATGCCGTAGTAGAGGGCTCCGGAAATTTTGACCACCTGGGGTTCTTTAACGTGCACCCAAATCTGAGCACACGGGCCTACAACATTTCCGCCTCCATCGGAAATGCAGCCGCCGCAGCCGGGATTTGAACTCGCGCCCTGCGGGTCAGCAGCCGAGTACCTTAGCCACTAGACCACCGTGGTGGGGCATGTTTCCATGTAATATACATTGAATAACCTCAGTATAAAAACAACTCCTCCAGCATTCACTCTGAATGTGCTGCTTGTTCTGCGCTGGCGTGGTTTTAAATGCGTAGCACTTGATGGGCCCTGCTTATCGTTTATTCCTAATCACATGTTGCATGGTCATGCTAACAATCAAGCGCTCAATACAGGCTTGAAACTTGGCTAGCAATGCTGAATACCAGGTTAAAATAAACAAATAAAATCTAATTAAACATAACTACAATAACCTACAAGTAATCACAATAAGTAACTTAAAATTGCTAAATTGCTTTTGACACATGCAAATGACTCCTGCGGCATGAAAGAGAGAGTGCAACCACCTCGAAGAGCCCACAATTCTTCCTGGCAAGGCTACAACCAAAAAGCCTCTTCCCCTCCACCCTCCAGTGATTGTGTTGATGGCAGCATGACGTTGCCACACACAATGTCTCCATACAATTATCCCAGGCGGCCCACTTGAGGCACTTACTTGTAACAAGTTTTCATGTCCTTCTCTTCAGTGTATTTTATTTTTATCACGCTTCTAAACAATTTTTTTTAGTAAGTGCCTTCCAGATGACCAGAATTTTATCTTATACAGTTGAACCCCTTTAAAAAAGACACTGATGTAAGAGACAAATAAGTAATAAGAGACACCAGAGTGCCTACATCACAAGAGGGGTTGATAAAAAAAAACGAATGTCGTATCCTGCTTAGAGACACCTCATGTAGGGAAGGGACAGCAACTGCTTCCCAGCGCGTATCCCTTATAAACGGGTTCAACTATATGGTTTGTTTTTATATAGAATTAATGAGAAAATCAAGAAATCTGAAGAATTTGATTATTACAAGCTGAAGATAACTCGCACACTTCACACAGAAGCCACGTTCACACAAGCTTTATCGCAGCTAATTGCACGCACCTAAATTTCATTGAATGTGTTATTTTGCTTATTACGTTTTGGTAACGGCACACGCTGACTCAGAATAAGCCACGATGTTAAAGCATCTTCGTTTTCTGTTGTTTCATTTTCTCTTCTGGAATGTGACAAGCTGCCCTTTAGTGAAATGACTTGTGCATGACTAACGAACGTCTTGCACGGATTCAACGTGATCGGCACACTCAACGAAATGCATGCACGTGCAATTAGCTGCGATAAAGCTGGTTGCGTGAATGAGGCTTTTGCGTGAAGTGCACGAGTCGCCTTCACTTGTTGAACGGCTGCTAGTGAAAAGGTTGCAAAAACTGTCTAGTTTTGGCGTGCAGCAATTAAAAGAACACGAGTACATAAGCAATTGCACATCTTACTTGCTTAAAAGGACAACGCAAATACCTGTTTCGGGAGCAGTAGCCGGAGCACATGCTAGTATCGTCATCAGCTTGAAAAAATAACAAGGGAGCAAAGTTTACGGCTTATCTTTCTTCATTCAGCGTCCAGATTTCCTCTCTGTGTGCAGCAAGGGACATGGCATTACGTTGGCCTTGCAATTATCAGCCAATACCTGCCACACGTCGATAGCCTTACGCATACGTATGCGCAAACACACGCGGACTGTGCAGACTGCGCCGCGCTCAAGCCTCTAACATGGCGGTATGCACACGACGGCCGACAGATGGCAGCAATTTTGGATAAGGTTCATAGTGATTTGGTCGAATAATTTCAGATCAAATATTTTGAGTAGCGTACCGTACTTACTCGCATAATTTGCATGCCGCTAATATTTTGCCAGCTTTACTAAATAACTATGGACCATCTTCCCGAAAAGAACTCTGATGGGATGAGAAGTAGCAGCGGTGTGCATGGCGTTGACCCGGTTGAAACAGGCGTCGACGCGAGTTCTGGAAGAACGATTTGAAGCGAAACTCGGTGCAGCCTTTACTCGGGTAAACGTTTGTTTGAAATGCAAAGACAAGGGAGGCTGGATGCACTGAAGACGCGCTCGGCTTCCTTGGCTCGCATCTCATTGGTGTTAGCCGCCTGCCATCTGTATTCTCGAACGCGATCGGTGTTCTTCACTCGCACCTTGTCGGTGTCGCTGGTCTTCCACTGCCGACGTTTGCGTTCGGCTTCCCTGGTTGGCGCTTCGTCGGTGTTGTGTCGCCATTCGCGAATGTGATCGGTTTCGCTAATCCCCGCAACGCCGGCTACAGCCGGGAAAGGTCACCGGTGGGCCCATTAGTGGGAAAGCATGCCATGACGCATTTCAGCCGTTGGCGTGATCGCGCAGTAAGCAGCAGCGCACTGTCCACATTGTTGGTGTCGCGAAATTCTCGAGGTGCACGCGGCAAACGCACCCGCTGGCTTCCGGCTTCTTCTCACCGACAGATAGAGAGAGGTGGCGCGGGTGATACGATGCCCACGTGAGGAGTGGGCTCGAGCGTTGCGAGTGGTAGAGAGGATGAAGCGAGAGAAAGCTGACAAGGAGTGAGCGTGCGGCAGGCGAGGGAGAGAGACGTCACCGTGCACTGCTTGGAGGGTGTGAGCTACTTGGCACCGCTCAAACAACTGCGGCGAGAAGAGCGGTGCAGATGGAGGAAGCGTTACACAGCCTAATCAAAGAGCTGCTTCACATCTAAAAAAAAAAAAAAATTTACGTGCCCATTTTGTGCTCCCCAACCCACCTGCGACAGCTCGCCGGCATGGACTTTGAACCTTTGGATGCTTTAGACAGCCACGCCGAGCATTCGCCTCACCAAACGTGCAAGCGCAGTCAAACGGACTGTAAGTCCGAAGTCCATTCTTCTGAGAACTTCCCCCGAACTAAGGCTTTGAGAATACCATACCCAAACATTCATACCCGCTGACGGATTGCCGGAACTGATTGATTGATATGTGGGGTTTAACGTCCCAAAACCACCATATGATTAGGAGAGACGCCGTAGTGGAGGGCTCCGGAAATTTTGACCACCTGGGGTTCTTTAACGTGCACCCAAATCTGAGCACACGGGCCTACAACATTTCCGCCTCCAGGGTCGCCGGAACTGCTTGAGCGTTTGCCTCCCTCTGTCTCCCCACTTTACCCCAATGAGAGTGCATGCTCCCATCCCGGCATGGAGAACTTTCTGCATTAGAGGCATGGGAGGGCCTGTCGCCCTATTAAGCAAATTGTTCCCTTCATCCTCTGCGTCCGCGCTGCTACACGCACTTCATTTATTTCAGAACTTTGGGTTTCGCCATTAGTCTCGTTTTTACTGTTCCCTTGTGATGGGCTACAATAATTATACAGTCGAATCTCGATAATTCGAACTCGAAGCGGCCCAAAAATTTGTTCAAATTAAAAGAAGTTCGAATTGATGAAAGCTAAATAAACGGAGGGCTCTCCTCGCAGTGACGCATGTGGATCGAGCTAACACATGAGGGGGAAGTTTAAGAAGGCTAACATTTATTCACAAATCCCAGGACATCCGTTATTAATTGAAGTAATCGGTGATGCGCGTCTGCACACGTTTGTTTGCCTTGCAGCGAGTCAATCAATTTCGCATGCAGCTTGCAAAGCATTTCTACTTCGGCTTCTGCATTCTCCTGGCAAGAGAAGTTGCACACGAAAATATCCAGCACAGAAACTTTCTAAAGACGACAACAACGACTGCACAGTGGAGCCTCTCCTCAACGCAGCCGCAGCAAGCCCAGCAGGTTACGAGAAAAGAAGGAGGGTCTCCACGCGCAGAAAAGCAGATCAGCAATTGAGAGAAAACCAACACTCCACAGCAGCTTTATTTTTTTACTCTCTTTGCACGCGTCGTTAAAAGGAGAAGGGTTACGTGGCAGGGACGGGAAAGGGGGAAGCATTGCACCAGCACGTGAGACCCCCTTTCCCTCAAGGCGCAGAGCCGTGCTCCCGCAAGGGACAAGGGCTGCAGAAGATAGTGGCTTTTTCCTTTTCTTCAACCACACATTCATTCAACCCAGCGACAGCTTTCTTTCTTTTTTTTCCTCTCTCTCTCTTCGCACGCAACGTTGGAAGGAAGAGGGTCTTCACGTGGCAGGACGGAAAAGGGAGAAGCGTGACATGGGCACGTCGCAGATCGGCATTTGAGAGAGAGCAAACATGCAACCGCAGCCTTTTCTTTCCTTTTCATATCCCTCGAGGGGCAGCTTTGAGGTGTCGTAGGTGCCGCATCGGTGTTGGGCGGGGTGCGAGAGGATTTTCGGAGCGCGGTATGTTCGAATTAACCGTCGGAAGTGCTTGGGCGTTCTAATTACCGGGTGTTTTCACCCATTGGAATACACATAGCTTTGACGGGACCTCATCGTGAGTTCAAATTAACCGGAAGTTCGAATTAAGCGTGTTCGAAATAATGAGATACGACTGTAGCAGTGACGGAGGTGCCTCTTTACTTTTTGGAGCATATTTTGGAGCAGGAAAAGTACTGCTTTGTAGCAGCCATAAACGTTTTTGGAGCAGGAAAAAAATGCTAGTTTTTGGTGTTTTAGGCATAGATATTAAATTTGCTATACATCAATTGGAGTTCACAGCATTGTTGAAGCATCCCGTAACGATATATTTCTTATGAAATATATTTGTCAGACAACAATCAATGTAAGTATCATGTAGCAAACAAATGCAGGTTCTCAAAAATGTGCTGTCAAATAAGCTATAATTTAAAATACTACCACTTGTGGCAGAAATCAAATCAAACTGGAAAAGCTGAGCTGATTTTAAACGCAACCACAGTCCCATATAATTGTGGCCAAATAAGCAGTAGACAATCTGTATGAGATAACAACAATGCTGCTCATTTTCACATTTCACCACAGTAGCCTACATGTCTAGCTGAGAAAAAAAAAAAAAATGGCCAAATGAGCTACATGCTTAATATGCCGTTTCTTGTAGCACAAATGAGATCAGAGCTGATAATGCTGCACACGCTGGGATGATAGCACACAGATTCTTTTCAGTTTCTTTTAGGATGTACGAGTCGATCAAAAAGCAAAAGTTCGTCCTCCTTCTCTCAGCGTCACTTTGGAGCAGCACGGAGCAGCATTTCTCTTTTGGAGCAGTTTGGAGCAATTGGAGCCGCACTTCCGTCACTGATATAGTGTTGATGATATGTGGGGTTTAACGTCTCAAAACCCCCTTATGATTATGAGAGACGCCGTAGTGGAGAACTCCAGAAATTTTAACCATCCGGGGTTCTTTAACGTGCACCCAAATCTGAGCACACGAGCCTACAACATTTTCCCCTCCATCGGAAATGCAACCGCCGCAGCCGGGATTTGATCCCGCAACTTGCGGGTCAGCAGCCGAGTACCTTAGCCACTAGACCACCGCGGTGGGGTCTGATATAGTGTTAGGAGTAAATCTTTATAACAACTTTTTGGTGTAAGATGCAACTTGTTGTAAAGAAGTTTAGGTGTATTCGTTAATCTTGAATACATCGAAATTTTGAATAATTAACATTCGTTCAAATATTTGAAGTGCTCAAATATTCACACATGCCTTACTAATACACTCAAACCTCACCATGACAAAATTCAACCTCACACAAAAATAAGTTCGTTATATCTGAAAATTCGTTATAAAGAGTTAATACCAACACAATGTTTATTGCAAGACTATTTTTCATTTACTTCGTTATAAGTAATATTTCATTATATCCAGTTTTGTTATATCAAGGTTTGAGTATAGATAACTACATAGTGCTTTTTTTTTACATGTTAGTGCATTCCTGGAAAAATAATTGGCCATCAAAATGTAGCACATCCCCAGGAACAATCTTATGAAATGTTTCCAGGCTGCTAACCACAATTTAAGAGGAGAAGTACCAAGGTAATCAAGAGCAGTCATGACCCATAGTGGCAGGTTCTGTGCATTACCGTAATTACTCGAATCTCACGTGCACCTTTTTTACAGTTAGGCGAGTTGATAAATCGCATGCGCGTTAGAATCGAGTACGAAAAAAAAAAATGAATACGGTCATTCTATTGCCATCGGCATTTTCAAAATGGCCGCCCCCTACGTGCGTCGGCATGGCGCATCGGCCATTTCTGCCCATGTGTTTCCCATGTGCGGCATTTCGTACGTGTGCTGAGGAGTTCGTCATCTTGTAGTGCATTAGCATCGACGGGATCGAAGGGCTGACTCTAAAAACTCGACGAGTGCACCACGATGCTGCTTTTAAAAGAAAAGTCATCGCGTGTGCCGAAACGAACGGAAATCGGGCCGCATCGAGGTCGTTCGGAGTTCCCGAAACGTGCGTGCGGGATTGGCGGAAACAAAAGCAGAATATTGTCGACAGCAAAGATTCACGCAAAGGCTTAAGTGGACCACAGCAGGGTCGGTTTCCGCAAATTGAAGAGCTGCTCGGCGAGTATGTGATTGAGCAGTGAGCGGCACAGCAGCCCATGGCGACAGAACTGCTGCAAGTGCAGGCTATGATGTTAGCCTTAGAAAAAGGGCTAATGCGGAGCCAGTTTAAAGCGAGCAGGTGCTGGCTAACTTAATTTCATAAAGAGGAAAGGCTTTTCCCTCCGAAGGCGAACGGATATATGCCAAAAGTTGCCGGAGGAGTACGAAGAAAAGCTTCACACTTTTCAGAGGTTCGTCCTAAACTTGCGGCACAACAACGGCTACCTGCTTGAGCAAATCGGAATGCCGATCAGACGCCTCTTTACTTCAACATGCATGGCACCACAACTGTCGAGAAGAAGGGGACGAAGCAAGTTGGCGTGCTGACATCGGGCCACGGTAAAACTAGAGTGACGGCAATGCTCCTTTGCACGTCAGATAGACACAAGCTTCCCCCGTACCATATATTTAAACGGAAGACGCTCCCGAAAGGAGTTGTTTTTCCGAGTGGCGTGATCGTTCGGACAATGAGAAAAATGGGTGCGCGTTGCAATCGATGTCTTACTTTTTTTTTTCGTCGTAAAAACCGGGTGCGCGTTACAATAGAGGGCGCGGTAGAATCGGGTAAATACGGTACTCGCCTGACTGCTTAGCTCATGTGACAAAAAAGACACTGATGTGCACTTTTCTCATTCCACCGCATAACTTATCACACATTACATTCACAGCTATAGCCGCATATCTTATCAGAACAACCATAACCACCTACACCTTCCATTTTACATCATGCAGGGTGTGGTGCTGTCAGAAGTGTACTGCACATTCTTAATAGGCAATAACTCACTTCACAGAGTGAGACCAGTCCAGAGTGTGTACTGCTAGCAGAAACAAAAGCAGCCTATAGCCGCCTGTGTACGCCTTTTTTCTCAGTAAACATGAGAAATCACATAGGCGAGCTTGCATGAATTAATACAACACAGCCCATGCACGGTGTACTAACCATGCATGCTAGTTGAGTGAGCCAAAAATGTGGTACCTTGAATGTGTGTACAGCGTTACACCACACTATAGTTGGCAAGCTCATGTTTGCCGATGTGGCATAGATTGTGCAGTAGTTAAGTGCTTTCAACCAAAACTGCAATTTTCTTTTGCTTAGTTAAAAGCTATTTTGGGGCTTTGAGGAGCAATTCGTCACTTTAATAATTTGTTTAGGAGCTGGAAACCTGATTGCAAATTAGCATGCTGCTTTCAGTAACATGCCACGCACTATTAGAATGTGGTACTCACGTCCATAAGAGCATGGAATGCCGGCAGCTTCATCTGGTCAAACAAAGATTCAAATGAGCCGACTGTTTCCGTATTTGCCAGGCGCTCCCTGTTCTCTTCACAGTGCTCCACCAAGTTGATGAGTAATCCCAGTGACTAGATTCAGATACAAAATAACAAATATAAAAATGACTACAAAACAATATAGAATGCACAAAAAAAGGAAGTCGTAAATAAATGCATTTGGAAGTAGCACTGTAACTGTTCAGATGTTAAGCACTTGTTTCAGGAGTCAGTCAGTCAAGGAACTTTATTTGGTCCTGAGAAGACGAGAATGCCCCCGTCAGGGGGTACCATCTGGGGAGCCACACTACTAACATAAAATTTTGCTGTCGAAACTCGTCATCATAATGTCCACTGTGGAGAAGAGGATGACTCACAAATGTTGGGTGATGCAAACTTTAACATAAAAACTTTCAAATAAAGCTGAAAAAAATTAATGTGTACGTTACGTGTTTCCTGGCTCCAATATGTGGGCAGCATTAACACTGCAGGCCAAGGAAATAAAAAAAAAAAAAAGTCTTTGTGATGCCTGAAAACTAGGCTTGTGCGAATAGTGAATTTTAAGTTCGAAGCGAGTAGTGATTTCGATCGAATAATTTCGATTGATTGATTGATTGATTGATTGATTGATATGTGGGGTTTATAGTCCCAAAACCACCATATGATTATGAGAGACGCTGTAGTGGAGAGCTTCGTAAATTTTGACCACCTGGGGTTCTTTAACGTGCACCCAAATCTGAGCACACGGGCCTAAAACATTTCCGCCTCCATTGTCGAATAATTTCGAATTGAATTCGAATGACATATAAAAAAAAGGAATATTTATCATGACCTACCGTAATTACTCGAATCTAACGCGCACCTTTTTTCCGGTTAAGCGAGTTCATAAATCGCATGCGCGTTAGAATCGAGTACGAAAAAAAAATGAATATGGTCATTCTATTGCCATCGGCATTCCGAAATGGCCGCCCCCTACGTGCGTCGGCATGGCGCGTCGGCCATTTCAGCCTATGTGTTTCCCATGTGCGGCACTTCGTACGTGTGCTGAGGAGTTCGTCATCTTGGTGTGCATTAGCACCGACGGCATGGAAGGGCCGACTCCAAAAACTCGACGAGTGCACCACGGTGCCGCTTTTAAAAGAAAAGATCGCGTGTGCCGAAACGGACGTAAATCGGGCTGCATCGCGGTCGTTCGGAGTTCCCGAAACGTGCGTGCGGGACCGGCGGAAACAAAAGCAGAAGATTGTCGACAGCAAAGCTTCACGCAAAGGCTTCAGTGGACCACAGCAAGGTGGGTTTCCGCAAGTTAAAGAGCTGCTCGGCGAGTATGTGCTTGAGCAGCGAGCGGCACGGCGGCCCGTGACGACAGAACTGCTCCAAGTGCGGGCTATGCAGTTAGCCTTAGAATAGAAAAAGGGCTAATGCGGAGCCAGTTTAAAGCGAGCAGGTGCTGGCTAACTAACTTTATGAAGAGAAAAAGCTTTTCCCTTCGAAGGCGAACGGGCATATGCGAAAAGTTTTGCGGAGGAGTACGATGAAAAGCTTCACAGTTTTCAGAGGTTCGTTCTAAACTTGCGGCACAACAACGGCTACCTGCTTGGGAATATCGGGAATGCCGATCAGACGCCTCTTTACTTCGACATGTCTGGCACCACAACTGTCGAGAAGAAGGGGGCGAAGCAACGTGCTGACATCGGTCCACGGTAAAACTACAGTGACGGCAATGCTCTGTTACACGTCAGATGGGCACAAGCTTCGCCCGTACCTCATATTTAAATGGAAGACGCTCCCGAAATGAGTTGTTTTTTCGAGTGGTGTGATCGTGCGAGCCAGCGAGAAAAATGGGTGCGCGTTGCAATCGATGTCTTACGTTTTTTTTTTTTTCGTCGTGGAAATCGGGTGCGCGTTACAATCGAGGGCGCGGTAGAATCGAGTAAATACGGTAACTAACCTGCACAATATTTCTTTTGAATTGAAATAGGGGTTTTATGCAAATGCCATTTTTTTTCGTTGAAAGGAAGTCTAAACAACCTTGAGTAGTAGTTTCAGTAGGATGCGAATGATAACCTCTAAGATACCTAATGTCTTAAAATTTATTATACTTGGAGCATATAAGCCGTCATAACAAGCTTAATAAAATGAAAAATTGATTTGAGGGTAACATGTTCTTTTGAAGGGGCCCTGCAACAGTTTTTCAAGTAGCCATAGAGCCAGTACACATGCTTGTCGCCTCACAAATTTACCGACGCCAAGTTTCTAGAATTAGTTCAGTACGAGCGGAGTTCCAAAAATTTGTCGCACGCTGTAATTGCATTCTCTCTTCTTGTCCCGATGAAATAGCTGGAAGCTACCAAGTATGGAAGAATGGCACGGCGAAAGAAAATACGTCACATGTTTTTCGTGACCTTGAGCACTTTTTTTTTTCCCGAATACACGGATTTTCAGTGCAGCCTTGCACATACTCATGGACAAGCGGCGGTCTCCCGCAGCGGCCCATGCTCAAATCAGCCAGTGGCTGTGCCCAGAGCCGTATATTCCTTCTTGGCTGTGACAAGTGCTTTTTGAGCTTGTAGTGTCATTTGCCGAAGGAAGAAAGCAATTTTTAGCTTTGAAAATTTATTGCGAACTACAGGCCGTGCACTGCGCTGTAATATTTGCCTCGCGTGTTCTCGGTAGCCTCTACTACTGATCGGCAGCGTTTTCTGACCATGTTCAGTGAGTGTTGCAGGGCCCCTTTAAATTTGAAGGGGGGCTTCGCGGCAAAACGAATTTCCCTTTGATAGGTGCTTTCAAAGCTTAGCACTCCTACATTGTAGTGAAACCACCTTTACAGGCAATGACATGCTGACTAATATACACTTATTCGTTCATTGGGAATACTTCGAAAGTATTTGATAATTTAAATTCAAATGGAACGAATTCGAATACTTAACTATTCATTCGAATATTCGAAGCATTAGAATATGCGCACAAGCCTACTACTGAAAACCTTGTCACTAATACTCCTTTAATGAAGAAAACAGCTGGATCACACTTACATACACATCTGAGTGCGCAACCTTCACGATTTTATTGTTTATAATTATGAAATATCTCATTCTCATTAGACCATTTATCTTTCTATTTTAATGTTGCTTTTAACTATTAAATATCTCATTGCATTGTATCTCTAAGTGTACTACTACGACAGGAAAAAGTGGTGTTCATTTTTTATATGCTGTGGCTTTCGAATCAGGTATAGGAGAATGTAAAAAAAAAACTAGCATAAATTGCTTGTTAAATATCACAGCGTGGAGTGAACTTCGATGCTAACTTCAACACTCTTGTATGATTAAATTGAGGGAAAAAGTTTCTAGAAAGCCCAGTTTTGACATTGATGAACTTATCAGTAGGATGTATAAATAAAAATGGCTAAGTATTATGTGGAAACAAAGCATGCATTTGTCATGTCCTCTATATGTTGAATTTAATCGAGAGAGAACAATGTTAATTCACGAAGTTTTATGCACCGATGAGGCAAGCAGCCAAAAGCAGGAATGTATAAACAACACATCTGAAAAAAAGAATTTGAATAATGAACACATGTGCAAGATAATACTAATATTTAGGATTTAGCATCCCAAAACCATTATATGGTTATAAGAAGCGCCGTAGTGGAGGGCTCCAGACGTTTCGACCATCTGGTGTTCTAGGGACACTAAAGGGAAAAACAATTTTTCTCATATTAGTAAACTGCTCTTTCATGGCACCACAAAATATTTCAGCAAGAAGATGCTTGGTATGCAAAAAAAAAGTGCAAAAATAAAACAAGGGTGGCAACACCACCTTCAGATTTCCACACCATTTACGGTGACGTTACTTATTCTGAAGCTGCCTACAACGGCATAAGTAGTTTTAGTCAGAAAAATAAAGCGTCCGCTGAGGGGGCCAAAGACTTATCATACAAAGTATGAGGAAGCTTAGTTGAGCCAATGCGCATCAAAATACGATATACATTTTGTAAACAATAACATGTTTTGGGCAGAGATTGTGCCGTGAAACTTAAAATGAAATTTTGCACTTGATTTTATCCTCTATTTTACTTAACGATAGAGTTCTCAGAGTACATTTTATCAATCTAAACCGATTCACAGTTTCACTTTAGTGTGCATATAATGTGCACTGACGTCACACAGTACATAGGCCTCTACCATTTCGCTTTCTAAAATGCGACCACCATGGTCGGGATTGAGCTGGTGACCTTCAAGCCAGCAGTTAAGCATCGTAACCGCTACCCCATCGTAGTGGACGAAAGAAAGGTGATTCAAAAGTCACACAGGAACGCACTGAATGCCTTGATAAAATCCTCATTCGTTATTTTATCCGCATATACAGTCAAGCTCGCTTATAGTGAACCTGAGCCTGACACCGCATCTGTTCAGTGTGTCCCGAAGTTCGTAGTAAATAAAACACAACTCTAAAAAAAGTTGCGAGAGAAAACACAAAATGTTTTGCTGAAAAAAGTCTGTGATGCACGTGCTTCAAAAGCAGAAGCGATAAGGGGAGTCTCGAGTTTATTTCAAATCGCAGGGAGCTCTTCGCCAAGGCCAGTGGCATAAAGCCGTATGAGGCACTGGCTCTAAAGTTTCGCCATTCTCGCAAACCGATTCTTCCAAATCATTCTTGCCGCGTACTTCATTCACAATGCCATAATCCGTGCACGGTTCCGCAGTGCCCGCATCATCATCGGCCGTAATTAAACCATCGCAACAAATGTCACACCCGCTCTCCCATGTCGGAGTCGACGACACGCTGCCACAAATCGCCACCGCAGTGGTCCTGTTCGGAAGCTTGAGGCTCGACATCGGGCCTGAGGTCGACGAAGTCGGCCTCGCGAAAACAGTTTCACGAACGTAGCTGTCACCACTGCCCACGAAATATTCACCATCTCCACAGCTGAATGACAGAACCTCCGAAGCGGCAAGTTGGCTGCCAGGTAGTCAACAGCTATGAGCAAGCGCTTCGCAATGCTGCACCTAACGCGCGGATTACGCCCAAGGCAACTAGTCACACTTTCGACATTTTGTTGAGCGGCAGGAAAAAGCATGCAAGGCCTCCCGTCCACCATCCTGATTACACACAAAAGCGAGCAAGACGCGCACATGCAACACACATGCCAGAACGTGTGGTACAGCTCTGGTCCCATTTCTAGTAAGAAAACAAAACTAATTCGAGCCAGCGTGGCTCCTTTGCCCATCTGCACCGCTCCACGGTGGAGACGGGCAAAGGAGTTGTATTACACAGAGAGGAGAGCAGATTTGCGAGAGGAGGGCAAGGAGTTGCAATAGAGTGAAGAGAGGTGAGAATACAGTGGAAAGGGAACCTTGAAAACCAAAACACACGGGAAGGTCGGGTAGCTTGCTTTAAAGGTCCGCGAAACGCGAGACTCGCGCGTAGAAAAACTTGGAGTGCCTACGCACGCAGAGGTCAAAGCACGGCTGCCTGGATCGGCGCGTGCAATGGTGCCTAAATAATTGGCGGCCATGATCAAAAAATCGTTTTGTTGCACCGGCCTCACCGCCTCACCGATTTGCGTGGCCTCACCGACTTCAATATTTCACCATTCGTTCCCCGCAAATTAACAGCCATTTTTACGCTTTCACACGCGTGTGGAGAGCATGCTGAGCCGATTGTGAAGTGAGCAAGAACAGGCCTTAAACACGAAACGAACCGCGAATTATCAGAGTTGGTGGGGTAGCGTACGTGCGTGCGCTAGAACGATACGATAAGAGAAGATGCAGGCGATTGAATACAAACGTTCGTTTTAAGCGAGATATTGTGCCAATGAAACAGTGTATATTGTGACGATCATGCAGATATTGTTCGCTTCAAGCGAAAGTTCATTTTAAGTAGGGCCGTTACACGTGGGCTTGACTGTGAGTGTGTGTGTGCGTGTGTGTGTGAGTGTGTATATATATATATATATATATATATATATATATATATATATATATATATATATACACGTACATACTTATATATATACATATATATACAATCGCCGACCGTTTATTTGGATGCCGAAAATTCGGACATGCCTGTTTATTCGGACATCTTCATGGCACCGCCACACTCCCCATTGATCCTAATGTAAACTCACAACCGAATATTCAGACGCCCCACTGTGCGCCATTCGCTTATTCAGACTCGTTTGACTGACCGGATGCGTCGCCGTACGCCATTACACGCTGAGAGCGACGTCAACAATACGTTTGCTAAGTTGCCAGCGCTGATATTCTGCACTAGCTATGGATGGATGTCTGGCCAGTGTCAAAATGCATGCAGAAATCGCCATTGCCAATCTCGAAGGCTATGTTTGACGACCCTTATATTTTTTAGCCAGTCGAGCGGCCAAGCCAAGCCACCTACAGAGTGTTCGCTGTAGCGTTTGTCAGCAGTGTCAGTCAGCTGCTTTTGCGGCTAGGCCTGGTTCGTCTTGTCCGTGTTCTCGCTCTCTTGCGTGTTCGGTGGCGTGCTCAAATGGCTACGACGCCACCCATTGCTGCGCCGTTGGGAGTGAAGAAACGCGGCCAATGTGGGAGCTACAAGACGCTCACGATGACAAAGAAAGCGGATATGATTCGCCAGGTAGAAGGCGACCTACCTCAGTCTGAAGTCTGAATTTTCTATTTCCAAGCAAAACGTCTCGGAAGCGTGTGTGTGTGTGCAGACATGACAGTTTTTTCGGGTGATAGGGCCTATAAAAGTGCTTTTTTTCGAGTGAATCCGTTTTTTGGACTCCCGATTATTCGGACGTTTTGGCCGTTCCCGTCGAGTCCGAATAAACGGTCGGCGACTGTATATAAGGGAAAGAAGTGTATACTTAAGGGCTCGTTTTTTCGTGTTTTGAACTGGCAAATTATCTTTTCCTTCTTCAGATTTACTGTAAGATTTGGTCTAATAACTTCCCCTATACTTTCCTTGGCATTATTGTCTGTTAGATCTCATAAATACATAATATATATATATATATATATATATATATATATATATATATATATATATAATTTATGGGCAGTCTGCCCTGTTTTCAGCAAAGCATTTTCAGCAAAATATATATTTTCAGCAAAATTTTCAAAATACACTCACCAAAACCAAAAGATCAAAACGCTGCTCCGTTGGCACTGCTTTCGGTACTTGCAGAATGCAGAGCAAAATGGCAGCGAGTAATCCTGGTTGGCTTCCAACATCTTTGCTGCCCAAGACTGAAAACAGTAAAGCAAACCTCCTGGTCAAATGGAAACAATAAAAACAAGATCAAGGATTTTAAAAGCCACGCCGATTGCCATCAAACCTCAATACAATAAAGTAATTTGCAGTAATGTCATTTGCATTGGAAAGGACTATCACTACAGTCGATCTTGGGTAGATTGAACTCTAAATATTGAATTATTCGCTACATCAAAAAGTTGATAAAACCCCTTGAATTTCCGATGCAAAAGTATGGGAATATTGCACATCTACATTGAACTACTGCAGAGCGTAACATCCAATATATTGACGTTGCACCGGGCCGAAGCCCAGAAAGTGCACTTATTCTGACAAAAATCACTCATTTTTAAGCCGGTTTGTAACAAGTTTCGATCCCTTCTCACGTGGTGACGAAAAGGCTGCGTAATTCGTTGGTTGCACAGCGTTTATGAGTGCACGGGCATGTAATGTGCGATCTGTTGTAAGTTGTAACGCGTGGACACAGTGTTTCTAATGGGGCCAATTGCTGATGGCACCAAAATCGCATGAATGCAAGGTGGCTTGGCGGCCTCATCAGGATGTGCGCATTCCCTTTCTTGTTTGCTCAAGAGTGATGACATGCAGGCCAAAAAAGCTTGGCCTTTGAGATCTGCAACCTGAACACGTACGTTTAGTGTTTTCGGTAATGCTCAAGCATGACGACACGCAGGCCCAAAAAGCTTGGCCTTTGAGATCCGCAACCTAAAGACGTACTTTTGGCGTTTTCGGTTACAGAATACACATCTTGGAGGCTTCACTTTTTCTTGCTTTTCACTTGAGGCTACCAAGCCTCCTAGTGCCATCGCCAAGATATCAATGGTGGGGTACATGGTCGTTTGTTGTTCCTGGAAAGCGTCATTTTCAAGTTCGTAGCAATACAAATGATGACTGGTGCTTGGAACAACATCGAGCAAGGCACCATCGTGTACAGTTTCCTTGTGCACTTTAGTGACAGGTGACAACTTGTATGCATCATCTTAGCTGACAACAGCCTATGGTGCCTCAGTGAATTTTGCTATGCTCGGCGACAACTTTTCTTGGCACTAAAGGGAAAGCTACGGAGGCAGAGCTTCTGCATATGTAGCACTACGTGAAGTAGTCCATTTTGATGTACCCTATAAAACACTGATGGTGCGCTCCCGTCACCCTATGGAAGGTGACGGGAGCGCACCATCAGTGTTTTATGTAGACGCAGACGCCGTTTAACGTTTGAGGTGCGCGTAAAAAGGCAGGACTTTCTCGCGCATTCAAAACGCAAAGTCACAACGAAAAAATAAAAGCAAATGTGACTATCTTAATGATGGGAGCTGCGTCCTGTCTCAAACAGCTCTACGTAAAAATAAAGGGGGAAGTTCTATAATTCACAAAGAAAATAGGGGCACTGTTCTGGAACTACATTCACTGGCAGTAGGATGCCCGCGATTTGGCGCTGTAGCCTTCATTCCAATGCCAAAAAAAGTTTTTGCCGAGTACACTTATTAGCATTTCCAAGCAGCACCTCATACTTGAGAACAGAAAGTGACTTCATCGGTGCAGATGACAAGGTTGCTGTTTCTGACTGCATCGATGCTAATATCATGGCTGATGTTGCCAGTGCCGCGGAAGTGGACCTGTGCGGTTATTAAGACGCTAACTCTGCTGCTACACTACATTTTACTGAGCTATAGAGCTTGTATCGTGGCTGCTGCTCAAGGGGCTGAATTCACTTATTTTGAAAGCGTCAATGCTCGATTATTGAGGATGACTTGAAGGCGTGCAAAGGGCAAGACAAATCTGCAGAGTATTTTCACGTAAATAAAGTGTGATAGCTTGCAAAAGAAGTCGTCAGAGTTTTTTAGGCATACTGTGAGGGAATACCGCCCCCCATGATGCTAACGCTAATTACAATTTCCGAAAGCCGTTTCAAGACTTGCAATTCACTAATATAAGCCTGAAATATGCATATTTATTATACTGAATTGGTATATCAAACTTTTTTGCTATCCCTTTTGAGTTCGATATATGCAAGATCAACTGTGTTTTTTCACAATTGCAGGTCCACCTCTTTTATTTAGAATTACAATCCAGAGAAAGGTGTTAACTTGCAACTTAGAAAGCAGGGAGGTAATGGCATGGTTGGTATAACAATTTATAGTTCAACATACACCATAATTATATTAATTTCTTGTTCTCTAAAAGATGTATTCTTTTTTTTAACTTTTACTAAGCCACTATGCAACATTAAGATTGCCACAGGTGTACGCAAAGTTCCCCTTAGGGGGAGATGCTACTCGAAAACACTTTTTTTTACATATTCACCCTAGAGCAATGAAACTTGAGCTGTTTACGGAACTTTTTATGCTAATTTTAAATATATAATTAGGTTTCTCGCAAGTTGCTCACTTTTAGCTCTGCGAAATGACAAAGTGAAAACCCTAACCCTCTTGCCCCCCCCCCCCCCCCTCTTTTCATCCCTGAACTTTCGTAATTTTTTACCATTCATAGTTCATAATGTTCGAAATAAAGTGTAGAATGCAAATGACTAATCAGGAAGCACATGAAAAATATGTAATAGGCGTGAAAAATAATAGACGTAAAAAGTCTATATTTCACCTACCCTAGCAAAGGTTTACATAAAATTTTTTATAATACAATAAAATATTGAAATTTAAACAAGATATGTGCATTCGCCATACTTTAGAAAAAATTTGGGCAAAATTTCATGCAGATCCGACACTAGAAGTGCCAGAAAAAGAAGGGGCACATTGAAAAAAATGGCAAAATTTGTGTTTTGAAAAAAGCGAGTTTTTAAGTTAAAATTTAGTTTTTATTTATGAAAGATATCATTATATCTGATGAAATTTGCACACCAAAAAGAACAATCTTTCTTGTAGTGACCACTGGGACTAAAATACGCCAGCCCCATGAGTTTGTCCCTCTCGGCTTTTTCGAGCCCACTCCTCACAGACATTTCGCTCACAGACAGGGCCATGAAACACTTGCCAAACTTACGCTCCATCTGGCAGAGCTTTTGCCAATTGCAAGCTAGGAAGAAGCTCGACAGGACTGCGAAATCCAAACTAAGTCCAGTGTCATGCCATCTTGCGGCCGTGCTTGTGCCACATACCGTCATACATAATGGCAATGTCGTCCCTTCTAAGTTCTTTCACTGCGAGCTCTTTCAACCTCGCGAGATTGGTGCTGACGTCATCCATTGCCGCATCACAAGCTTTCCGGCTGACGGGTGTGAATGACTTTTAATGCATTGGTTTTGATTTTGATGCATTGACAACAAGTTTGGCATAGATCGCAAGATGGTTTGATTTTGATGCATTGGTCGCCAGTGAAAGCCGCACAAGGGCTTTCACTTGCGACAATGCTTTTTTTCTTCTAACGGAGATAATTACACAAGAAAAGCATTGTTCAGCTGCGCTGCTCGACAAGACATGGACCCCGCAAATAATCTTCACAGCACATACAAGCGCGCAGCGGCCAATGGCGGTCCCCGATCCGTACAACGTAATAAGCCAGTCGCGGCGCACGAAAAACGCGCAAAAGCGTGCTTCTTTTTATTATTTCTTGCGCCGCATCAGCGAGGGAAACTGTTGTTGCTTGAAGAGTGAGGCTCGATTCTTCGGCTAATGCGATCAAGAAAAGCGAGCGGCGGCGCATTATTGGCAGCAAGGTGCTCGAAGACTGCACACTTTGGACCTTTTAGCAGGCACCTTGTGCTGTTTAGATGCAATTTTAAAGCATTTCCAGTTAAGTCTCGACCTGTACTTTTTTTTCATAACAGTAGAAGTACTAATCTTATCAAAACAGGCAAAAATGAAAAATCAGTCATTTTGAAAAAAAAAAAAATTCGCATTTTTCGACTCGCATCTCCCCTTATGGTGCATTCAGACGACGGAGCGAATCCGGATGTGGCGTGATGGATGACGCGTCACGTGACCTCGCATCAGAAATTCCCCTCGTCCCCGACTCGTCCGCATGGCTCGCGGACGGACGAACCCAACCTGTTTCTCACATCGGGATTCTGGCGGGAGAAAGCCGATACTTCAGCGGATTAGCTCGGGGTTTCCGGCAACCAGTACACTTTTCGTCTGCTCGCGGCATGTCTTCCATGGCTCGCGGATAGCTGCATGACTGGTTGGCATCATCTACGCTTGAGAATGGTTTACTTAAGTTTCCGGGGGCTTTGTTCTCAGGTGAGTAAATACGCAGAAATAACTTTTGGTGGTTCGGGAAATGTCGCCGCCGTCGTTTATCACGCGAGATTCTTAGCCGTCATGATGGTGAAATATTCTAACTTCTGCAACCAGCGACGTGCCGCTTCTAAACAAAGATGGGAGACGCGTTCAGAAGTCCTACAAGTGGGGAACAATGTAGTTGAAAGAGCATTCTACCTGCAACTCCCTTTTCTCCTGAAAGAATAACACCCCTCGTTCATTTGTCAAAACGCGGCAGACATCGCAGCCAAGCGTTGCTTGTCGCGGGCATCTATGTTGAATACTCTCAAACCGGTCTGCTTTCTGCGCGCGCAGGTGAGCGCCGAACCTGCTGTCGTGGGTAATCTGGCTGTTTTCTCCTAGGACACCGTCCGTCGTGTGGATGCATCTGCAGGCGGATCATCCGCAGATTACCCGCCCGCGTCCACGACAAATCCGGATTCAGTCCGTCGTCTGAATGCACCACTAAGGGAGGGCAAATGTACATTGCAGCAGCCCCCCCTCCCCCTATTCTTACTCTATTATGCCAATGTATGGGACTGGCTTTGCTACTAACAACTAGTGGTCCTACAAATGGACACCATGCCTCTCCACTTGCAGGACTGCTGAAGCATCGGGGAGAATGCACTGCTTGCAGAAAACTTGTGATCGCTTCATTACCGTTCTGGTGCAAACAAACTACTCGCCGAATCTGTGCACAACTGAAGAAAAATGGACACGAAGAACCCTTCCCTTGACAAATGCATGTGTGAGGTATAGCCAGGCAG